TAAAAATTAATATTTTTTATTTTTTTAATATTTAAAATTAAGAAAAAAATCTGTTCCACAAAGAAAAAAGTAACAACATGAGGAATCTCCCATTTAACGGCAATAATAAACTTTTGTAGTTTTCAAAAATGGAGTTTTAGACGAAAATGGATTTCATTCTGTTTCCTGATGCAGTCAACTAATAAAAGCACAGACCTCGATACGTCTGTGGAAGAATCAAACGGTACAATTTGTTTGGACTGAAGCCTTCCCCCTGCTGTTTTTGCAATGGAAGCTACCTGGCTTGCTCTAGTCTGTATTGAGCTCTTTCTGTTGCTTTGCGGCATGCATTAGTACTGGAGTATCTATCTAGAACAGCAAGTTCTCTCTAAAGGTGCATTGTAGACGTGTGTTTCTTTCAGCTCTAGTGATCTGGAAGGGCAAATGCTGGGGGAATAAATTATGGATATTATTATAAGTTTGTTGAAATATTACAAACAAATTGGTGCATTTAATTATTTAATAAATAAATAGGCAGATTTAAATAATTAACACTGATTAGATTATTTCTAAAAATATATGATTTTTTCAATTAAGTACATACTTCTCCATACATTTATAACCTTCCTGCAGTCTTCCAGTTTTCGCCCTTCCTGTTTTTACTGTTTTTTTTTAGGATTTATTTACTGTGTAAGAATAGATGCATGTGTGAGATTGAATCTTTAGTTGAATTCGTTCCCAGCTAGCTGCCACTGAGACTTTCAAAGCTGCTTCGTTTAAATTCTGCTTTGGGTTGAAATCAGATAATCACACAAAGTTTGAGTATTTTTAATTTTTGTTACATTTCTGTTCTGTTGTGTGATATGTTATTTGATTTGGATTGCTGGGCTTTGAAAGTGTCTGTCAGTTTTAGAGTAAATGTGACAAATTGTGATTACTTTCGGCTCATCTGATTGGACGAGACCTGTGGCAGACGCGCCCTCATCCCCTGGCCAGCCCATGAGGGATGGGATGTTCCACAGCCCAGACTGGCAGCACACAAACAACTGTTCACATCCTGTCACCTGCAGCCCAACATGCCAGATGGCACAAATCATAGACAAGAATATTCTGGGTTCAATGCAATTTTAAGTCAATTGGTGTCCATCAGTGGCATACATTATTCCAGAAACTCGTCCCTCAGTTTGTATCCTGGTACAGTGCCTTGCCCTGTAGTAATTGCAGTACTGTTTAAATAAATATAAATAAATAGGTTACAAACTGAGATACAAGTCAAAATTATAGTCTATAGTAAAGAAGCTGTATTTAACCTGGAATATTGAGGACAGTATAAAGTCAGACCCCTTAAACACTGTGCTGTCAAACTATGTGATTCAGTGCTTAGAAGTAGTTGAATTTGGTGTTTGTTTCAGTGGTGAATTTAGCTGATGATTAGAGTCTGAGGAGTTGAGAGGTAGTCAGCTTGATGTAGTTGGTGTGTGCTGGTGCTGTTCCTGCTCTGGGAAAGATCTGCCAAGCATGTGATGCTGCACACATTGCATAAAGAGCTCTGCAGGTCTGCCCTGGACCTTCTGGGGTGAGCTCTCCTCACAGACCTCCTAACAGAGCCCGTCTCTTCCTGCAGGTCAAGCTGTGGTACGATAAAGTAGGACATCAGCTCATCGTCACTGTCCTGGGCGCCAAAGACCTGCTTTCACGAGAAGACGGGCGACCTAGGAATCCATACGTCAAAATCTACTTCCTCCCCGACAGAAGGTACGTCAGAGTTCAGAGATATCCAGTTTTTGTCCTTCAAAAATAATCATTTTTGTTTTCAAAAGAAGTCTCACCCAAGCTCTAATTTATTTAATCAAAAATACAGTAAAAATAGAAATATTGTGAAAAATTATTTACATTTCAAATATCCATTGTCTATTTGAATATATTTTAAAATGTAATTTATTTCTGTGAGGCAAAGCTGAATTTTCAGCATAATTGCTCCAGTCTTCAGTGTCACATGATCCGTCAGAAAGCATTCTAATATGCTGATTTGCTGTTCAAAATTCTTTAATGCATAGAAATTCCAAAAAACAGATTTTTTAATTTTTGTGCAATTCTCCAAAATTAAAAAATAAAATAAAAAATAAAAACAATTAATGTATATTCATATCAACATTATTTAAGTTATATTTGAAAATGTCTAAATATATCTATTCTATTTTTATTTTTATTTTATTTTTACTTTTTTTTTTTTGAGGAGGGGGTGAAAAAACAACAACAACAGCAGCAGCATTATGCCATAACATCAGTGATTGCTTCTGTATTGGTAATAACAAAGCACTTAATATTGAAGACTCTAAACAATGTGTTTAACAATGCTGTGGTAGTGACAAAACACTGTTCATCGCTGGTGGAGTATTTATGTAACACCGTGGTCCTCTGAGGCACGACATTTCGTTCCACTGTATGTCCCCACATGCAGCAGAATGACAATAAAGCTCAACTTGACTTGACTTGACTAAAACTGAATAATAATCTGAGGTTGGAGAATCGTCAAAGTAGAAATTTAAAGATGTAAAATAAAGCTGAAGTGAAGATATTTGTGTCTATCCACAGTGAGCACATGAAGCCTTCAAAATCACATTGACATAATTGCTTAATTATCCATTTTTATAGTAAACCCACTGAGTATTTTCAGGACACAAAGTGTATTTTTTTTTAGAAGACAGCAAACTTTAATAACCAAGACGTCAAAACCTAGTGAAATACATTCCAGAATCCTCCTTTTATAGAAGGGATTTTAACCTGGGGAAAATTAATGTGAAATATTTTGCAACCCAGATAATAAAATAACAACTAATAAAGCTATACATTCCATTTGTAAGTAAGAAACAAAAAAATCTGAAAAAAATTAATGAATAATTAGGTGTAATGATGTCTAAAAACGTGTGCGTTTAATTCAAACGTTTCAAATCGGGGGTCCTTGGATTGGTTTAGTGTCTCTGTGGGTCTGTAAAGTCACATCAGCAGCTGTAAATTATGACCTCACCTGCTCTTCTCAGCGATAAAAGCAAGAGGAGAACGAAAACAGTGAAGAAATCTCTGGAGCCCAAGTGGAACCAGACGTTCATGTACTCGCCGGTGCACAGACGAGAGTTCAGGGAGCGCATGCTGGAGATCACGCTGTGGGACCAGGCCAGAGTCCGAGAGGAGGAGAGCGAGTTCCTGGGAGAGGTGAGAGAGACACCGACACCGTCCTGAAAAGATCTCACAATATGTACACAGTGTGATGTAAGACAGCTGTTGAGGCAACAATATCAGACGTGAATAGAAGTTTTAGTTTAACATCAATTATAAAACTATTTTGTGCCTTCCTTTGCAAACGCTTAGCATTATAACTGGAAGTTTTTTTCTTTTATTCCACATTTGCACTGCATCTTAAACTCATAAAGCGCTGCAAGTCATGATAAATGGATGTGTGTTTGATGTAGGGCTGGATGATTAACTGGAAAGGAATCGAAATCGAAATTAACTCTAATACCTAAACTGTTGTCAATAACAACTGCTGTTTAAAATTGTGTCTGAATTATATGTTTAAAACAGGAACTAGGCTGCAATATTATGACAAAAATCGTTATTGTCTTATTGCTCTTAACTCTTTCCTCGCCAGCATTTTTGAAAAAAGTTGCCAGCCACCACCAGCGATTTTGATGATTTTCACTAAAATTTGATGGCCTCCAGTATATTTTGCTGTATGAATATTTGAATATGCAATACAGCAAAATAAAGATCAGAGCCTCTACTTTTAAACAAGTTTATAAGTTTTTAAATAAGTTTTATTCTAGCTTAAAGCATTCTTTTTTTATCAACACTTGAATATAGGTAGGTTTCACAAAAATGCATAATTTTGAGCAAAAAGGTGAGAAAATCAAATTTTTATCAAAAACTACTTCTGGATAATATTCAGTAAGATTATCAAAGCATAAATCCAGTAAATCGCGTCCATTAATACCTCCAAAGCTTGCACAGACATATACCACTTCCCAGATCAACATTTTACTCCGTAACATTATGCAGATTTCATTTATATGCTTGTCTATTGCTGATGATCGCATTATTTTTCATATGCAAACGGTTTTGTACTCGTTCAGAAGATGCGTAATAGCGCCCCCGAGTGTCTAGCAGTGAAAACACGAAAAGCCGTAAAAACTCGTTTTTGGCGGGGAAGCGTTTTCTTGTAAAAGACGAGATAACTCGCTCTAACCAACGTAATTTTCCCATGTCAGTTATTTCGTTTTTTTAATCCTATTAATACTTTCCCCTTAAAAACATACTACCATAGTCGGCGCTATACGGACGTGACCGTTGCGCTCGCGTCTTTTGTGCATCTCGCGCGTTAAAATAATTTAAACTTTTACACGCAGCGCCGCTCATCAATGTCATTTCCAAAACAGTGGCCCAATCAGAAGACACCGGAGGCGGGGCAAGCGTTGCATGCTTTTGCTTACAGTAGCAGGTTGGCATGGCAACTTTTGTATTTGTGACCCTGGACCACAAAACCAGTCATAAGGGTCAATTTTTTAAATTTATACATCATCTGAATAAATAAGCTTTCCATTGATGTATGGTTTGTTAGGATAGGACAATATTTGGCCGAGATACAACTATTTGATAATCTGGAATCTGAGGGTGCAAAAAAATCCAAATATTGTGAAAATCACCTTTAAAGTTGTCCAAATGAAGTTCTTAGCAATGTATATAACTAATCAAAAATTAAGTTTTGATATATTTACGATAGGAAATTTACAAAATATCTTCATGGAACATGATCTTTACTTTATATCCTAATGATTTTTGGCATAACAGAAAAATCTATAATTTTGACCCATATAATGTATCTTTGGCTTTTGCTACAAATATACCTGTGCTACTTAAATCTGGTTTATGACTGGATTTGTGGTCCAAGATCACTGAGATGCTGCCCTGCTCTTTCTCTTAAGCAGCAGAGTTCTATTTACATTCATTATTTAAATCATTTGTTTACAGGAGATGCAAGTTATTATTTTCTACTTTTCACATTCCTTTTCACATTATTTAAAATAATATTAATTTACAAGAAATACAAGTTATTTTCTACTTTTCACATGACGATATTTAAAATGTATTTTGTTTGCAAGAGATGCTGGTTATTTTCTACTTTTGACATGGCAATATTCCTTTATTTTGTTTGCAAAAAAATGAAAAATAAGAAATGCACTCTTTCATTAGAATAAAAACCCCCCCACCTTTAATAGGTGAGTATATTTACAGTGCAAACCTTTAATGAACTATGAAAAAAAAAAAAAATGAATAAAATAACCGTTCAATAATCGTAATCGAGGTAAAGTGTTCAATTAATCGAGGTTTTGATTTTAGGTCATATCGCCCAGCCCTAGTTTATATCCTGTGTGTTTGTGTGTGTAGATTCTGATCGAGCTGGAGACGGCGCTGCTGGACGATCAGCCTCACTGGTATAAGCTCCAAACACACGACCAGTCCTCGATGCCGCTGCCGAACCCCTCGCCCTGCATGCAGAGACGCCTCCTGCACGGAGAGAGCCCCACACGCAGGTTACAGAGTACGTACTGTTACAGCAAACACAAGCACACACTCTCAGGAAGAAATACAAAGCTGACCCTAAGGTACAAAAGCTAGACGGTATGTCTTTATACTATTTTTTTTCTCCTTAGTGGCACATATTAATATTAGTGCTGTCAAACGATTAATCGCGATTAAAAAAAATTAACTTAAATGATTTTAGCAAATGGCTGCAATATAACAAAGAGTGAAAAATTGAAGGGGGTCTGAATACTTTCCGTACCCACTGTATATAAATATAACATATAAATATATAAATGTATATATCAAAATATATACTGCATGTGTGTGTATTTATATATACATAATAAATAAACACAGCACACACACATATATTATGTAAACAAAAGCTTTTATTTTGGATGCGATTAATCGTTTGACAGCACTAATATTAATATGTTGGTGGTAATGCATTACAAGTAACTCAAGTTACGTAATCAGATTACTTTTTTTCAAGTAACTAGTAAAGTAGCGCATTACTTTTAAATTTACAGTAAAATCTTTGAGTTACTTTTTGAATTGTGTAGCATAAGTTACTTTGTTTTTCCATGTATTCACCGACAGCACTCTTGTCCCCATGTTAAGAGAAATTGGAGGCACTTCCTTCAGCCTGAGGCTTATTCGTTTCACGTTTGGTGTGAAAGGGCCTTTAGAGTTGCCAAAAATGTAACTTTTTTTTTTAATAAGCAAGCCCAGCCCAGGGGACAAAAAGTATCGAAAAAGTAATGTAATGCATTACTTGCATTAAAGGGATAGTTCACCCAAAAATGAAAATTCATCATTTACTCATCCTCAAGTTGCTGGTACCCATTGACTTCCATGGTATTTATTTATTTTTTCATACTTTGGCAGTCTACTGTCAACTGTTTTATGAAATATCTTCTTTTGTGTTCATCAGAAGAAAGAAATTCATACAGATTTGAAACAAGGTGAGGGCGAGTAAATGATGACAGAAGTTTCATTTTGGGGTGATCTATCACTTTAAGTGTTCACACTACAGTTGAATGTGATCTCAATCTGATTGTGAAAAGCAAAAATCACATTGAATCACATTTTGAAATGGAGTCTGGGCCACTTTTATTTGTGGAAATCAACTTCTGTGTGATTTGTTTGATTTTTACATCAGTCATTCATCATAATTTTGTGTTTGGTTTACTATTTGTGTAAATCATAAAATAATTTATGAATTGCACTGTATTACATAGAGATATGCAAAAATACACACATACTGTTCAAAAGCATTTGGTCTGTAATATTTTGTAATGTTTTTGAAAGTATTCTCTTCTGCTCACCAAGGCTGCATTTATTTGATATAAAATGCAGTAAAAATAGAAATATTGTGAAATATTATTACAATTTAAAATGTCTGTTTTCTATGTGAATATATTTTAAAATTTAATTTATTTCTGTGATTTAAAGCTGAATTTCTTTATTTAATTTACTCCAGTCTTCAGTGTCACATGATCCTTCAGTAATCACTCTAAAATGCTAATTTGCTGCTCAAGAAACATAATTATCATTATCACACTTGTGATGAATCCTTGCTGAATAAAATGAATATTATTAACATACTGATAAAATTATAAATAAAAGTATTGATTACAAAGTATTAAGTAATAATAAAAAAAAAGACCCCAAGCTTTTGAACGGTAGTCTGTTATCTGTTAAAAATTGAAAGAACTTGAAGTTTTCTAAAATTAATTTAAAAAATCAGAATACGAAACTTTGCCAGTTTGAATGTAGGCAATCTGCTCTGGTACAAATGTCCTGTATATTCTGTATTGTTTTTATGTCCAGAACTGATATGATCATATTTTATGTATGTTTGTTTTTGTTGACGTTTCTTGTTTTCATGTTTTGTTTCCTTCAAAAAATATTACTGTCTATCCACCACTGACACATTTCCAGACAAGGGCCCATATTTTTACAACTCAGGTAACTTTGCCCTGCTTGCTCCAGCTAGCATGCGATTGGCCAGCAGTGTGATTTTACTCTCCTCTACACTCTCAGAGTGTGATCTCCCCTCACTTCCACCTCATGCTCTTCAGAAACCCACGCTGTCCCTCACAACATGCATGGAGCTGCTGACGCCCATCGCTGCTGCTACATGCCACCAGTCCTCATTGTACAGCTTATCTGCCTGTTTAGGCCTGATCTTCACCATTACAATATAAAGAAAAGCAGCCTAGTTAACAGTCCTGAGTCACGCTTTTCCCAGCCTCTCACAAACCTTTCTGTGGTTGGTGTTTGCTGTGTTTCACTGTTTTGATTTCAGACTAAATGATAGTAAACCTCACGCCGCTCGGTTCTGCTCACACTGATCTTGTTTGTAATATTTGAGTCTGAACACAGTGTGTTATCGGTGTGATTTTCAACATGTTTTCCAACACACAGTCATGTTAAGAGGGTCTTTTCTTCGTTATGACTCTCGTGATCTCTTTCTCTGTTTCTCTCTCTCTCAGGGTCACAGAGAATCAGTGACAGCGAGTTCTCTGATTACGACTGTGAAGACGGGATTGGTGTTATCTCAGGTACAGCTAAGTCACCTGCTTTAGCGCCGCACTGTACTTACAAAACTGAAGACTTGAGCCTGCTTGAAAGCATTTTACTCACTCCTTTTCAGTTAAATTCATAATTACATGCATATCAACACATTTATAATATAACTATTAGAAGTATTTGTAACAATCACAAAACATATACGGAGTTCTGGCAATAAACTCTAGATGGCGCAGTCCTATAGGTCTAACTCAATCTGACCGAATGACATCATTATCACATGGCACAGCTGATTGGTTCTCTCCTGTATCGGTAGCCAATGAGCTCGCTGCTCAACATTCAAATATATGACTAGTGCTTGCCGTAGCAGTCGCAGCTTGCTTCAGAAACCCTCCACCTTCCCCAGCTCCACCTGTATAGATCTGCTACGAGGTGATTCGTGTATGCTATACGGGGGTTATTTTATGTATGTTATATTTGCAGCAGCAATATTTCTTACATGCTCACAGCAATATGTTGTGGATGTATTGGCAGTAGCAAATCTCTGTACTTGTACTCGGTACTGCAGCAGTGTAGCAGATATATTCCGCCAAGACCAAATACATTAACATTGTCATGTACATTACCATGCCAATCCCTCCGCGAGTTGTAATGACAGAAATATATTTTAGGGCTCTTTTTGCACTTTTGTGCACACTTTGCACCATAATATGAGTGAAATGTAATTCTATACAATACTGTTCAAAAGTATGGGGTCAGTAAGATTTTTATATGTTTTAGAAAGAAGCCTCTTCTGCTCACCAAGACTGCATTTATTTGATCAAAAATACAGTAAAAACATTAATATTGTGAAATATTTTTACAATTGAAAACAACTCGTGTCTATATAAATATATTGTAAAATGTAATTTATTCCTGTGATCAAAGCTGAATGTTTAGTATCATTACTCTAGACTAGTCTTCAGTGTCACATGATCTTTCAGAAATCATTCTAATAAGCTGATTTATTGCTCAAGAAACATTTAGTATTATTATTATTATTATTATCAATGTTGAAAACAGTTGTGCTGCTTCCTATTTTTGTGGAAACAAGGATTCACAGATAAATAGAAAGTTCAAAAGTGCAGCATGTATTTGAAATAAAAATCATTTTGTAGCATCATAAATGTATTTACTGTCACTTTTGATCAATTTAATGTGTCTTTGTTGAATAAAAGTTTTAATTTCTTTCAAAAATAAATAACAAATCTTACTGACCCCAAACTTTTGAACACACAGCTAAACACTGATTTAATGGGGCACAATCTGATCTGAATAAATGAATAAATGTCAGTTGTGTCTGTAATGATCTTATCGATGTCTAATCGTACACGGCTTGTCCTGTTCACACATGCTTATCAACAAATCAAATTAAAGGATATTGTCAGAGAGAAGATTACTGTGAACTTTAGTCTCCCAACTCAGCACAAGGAAAATCCTCACCGTCATTTCACACTGACCGCATTGGTTCTGTTCACTTTTTAAGGTGTTTTCATGTTCCTGAATGAAGTGTTGATATCACTGTAAAATAAAGTTCAGCGTGGTAGACCACATACAGTTCTGCTAAAAAAGTATTTGGACACCTAAAAATGTCTGAATGCCATTGTATTAGATGCTACTTTGCTCCTATTTTTCAGTGGATGTATGATTTATAATTTGGTTGTTAAATGGCATTGCTGAAGTAAATGTGTGTTGTGTTGTGCTTGCCTCAGATAACCGGCACAATGGCAGGGATTTCCAGAGCTCCACTCTGTCTGTCCCTGAGCAGGTGATGTCGTCCAATCACTGTTCCCGATCAGACATGACCCGCACACGCTCGCGCTCACCCAGCGTCCCTCCACCACAAAGGTACAAACAAAAGCATAAGAGCCGTTCGTTATGGGTCAAGAGGTCATATCATAAAACATACTCCAGACTTCCTTCCAAAGACAACAAAAGATGATTTATTGAAACAATTCTCATTCTTCAACTTCCTGACATCAAATGGATAAATTAGGGATGCACGATATTATCGGACCAATATCGGAAGCTAGCGATTAGATCATGTGTAGATCAGTGTGGCTCATTTGAAGCAAAGTTTTGCCTGAATGATGATTAGATTCACTGTTTTGGATCACTGCATTTAAACTGTGAAAGCACGTACAGAATGACGCGTTCGTGTATGATAGAGTAAACAGTAATAGCATGTGCAGCAGCAGCAGCGGCAGTCTCCCCCGGGTCCTAATGCCTGCTCAGTAAGGAGTTTTAGGCTGTTAGCCTACTTCTAATAAAAGAAAGAAAAATACACAAATAATATTTAGACTGTGTTTCTGATTAAATAAAGCAGTTATTGATGCCATTAAATCATGAGTATTTTTTTATTTAAAGGTAAGAAGCTATAGCTTACATGAACAAAATAAAATCACAAACATGACATTTATATAAAAAAATGTTATATATACTGATTTATTCATTAATGTGTAATATGTTATATTTTTTAAACAAATTATGAGCTCTAAAAGATTTTCAGAATTTTTACAACTCTTTTGCTTTAGACCATTTGCAAATGTTAAATCTTAAAATAAAATGTTAAAGTTACCACTGCATCTTTCTGAAAAAAAAAAATGCAGCGATTTAATATAGTTTATTTATAGTTATTTTCAAATCTTCAATGTACTGTCATTATAAAAGAACTTCATTATTGTTTATTTAATTCTAACAAATATGTTCTTGTTAAAAACTAACCAAAATTTAAAATAATTTACTTATCATTTCTGCACAGGAGAGACTTGGTGTTGTTTCCAAACAAAAGGAAATATATCGGTATCGGCTATCAGCCAAAATGAGTTGAAAAATATCGGCATATAGGATATCGGCAAAAATCCAATATCGTGCAACCCTAATAAGTACGGAGTGATATAAATTAACTTAATGTGCTTTCTGTATGGTTAAGATTAGGGTTTGGTTTAGGGTTAGTTTCTTGTAATTATGCATAATTTTCTGTTATTACTATAATAAGCATATGCAATGTGTAACAACATCATCTTAAAATAAAGTTAGTTTTTTATGTAGCAATTCTAACAAATAAGTTCTTGTTAAAAACTAACCAAAATTAAAAATAATTTGCTTATAATTTCTGCACCGGAGAGACTTTGTGTTGTTTCCAAACAAAAGGAAATATATCGGTATCGGCTATCAGCCAAAATGAGTTGAAAAATATCGGCATATAGGATATCGGCAAAAATCCAATATCGTGAATCCCTAGGATAAATCCATGTTTTATATCAGTCGCGTCTATTTGCTATTCAGCAACTTTGCCACCCAGGTGGCATTTAACTAATGCTAAGCCTAAGATATCAGGATGGTTTGCCAAACATTCACTCCAGGATCCCAGCATTGAAAACTTGTGGCTAATTTTTTAAAGGGGTCATATGATGCGATTTCAATTTTTCCTTTCGAGGAGAAACAATAATGTACAGTATGTGGAAAATAATGTGTTTTTTTTACTTTAAACCGCATAAACACATTTCATTACACCAAATACACAAAATAATGTTCTTTTTAGCAGCATCATATGACCCCTTTAACAATGTGTCTGGTCGTTTCAGGCTGATCTTAAGAGGTGGTACAAATGTACAGATTGTATGCACACACAATTCAGTGAACAAAGTGCTGTTGCTCATTTCACATGTGAACAGTGTTTTAACATAAAATCTATGATGAGTTTTATAAAGCAACCATAATAATTTTTTGTATTGTTAGTAATATTTAGTAACACTTTAGATCAGGGAAGCCTATTCATTATTAACTAGTTGTTTATTAGCATGCATATTGCTAGCATATGGGCTGTTTATTAGTGCTAATAAAGCGCATATTAATGCATGACCATATTCTAGATCACTTTGCCCATACCTAAACATCACCACTACAACAACTACCTTACTGACTATCAATAAGCAGCGAATTAGGAGGCAAAACTCAAAGTAATATGTGTTCCCTAATCTAAAATTCGTCGTATTGTTCATTGTATATCATTGTATTGCATTACATTATATTTTTTGCTTTGATCATAAAACTAAGCATTTAAATATTATCTCACTAAGACATATTGTTGGGAGATTCAGAATGAAAACTGATATTTATATAATTTTATGTAAATATCTGCTATACTGTTCTCATTGATTTACATTACAAGCTTTCAGAATTTCATTGTACTTTATTGGGCACATAAATATCAGCATCTGCAACAAATCGCATATTTTTTTGCTCAATTAGGGCCTCTAGAAATTAGAAATATTGCCGTGGCAACTAGCTGAAATAAACAAACAAAAAAGAAAAGTTGAAAGTTATATGAATTACTAAAATAACTTGAAATAAAATACAATTAAAGCTAAATAGAAATATTTAAAAAAAATCAAAAGCAGAAAACAAGTTATTTAAAAATAAAAATTATGTACATATTATTCATAATTATTATTTTCAATTAACTTTTATTTTATTTAGTGTCGCTAGCACTCTTTGTCATAGCAGGGCTCTGATTTTCTCTCCTCTCCTTCAGTCGAAGTTTAGACCACGGTGTGAGAGGAGGACCCTCGCTTTACGGCCCCCGACATCGCCTGTCTGAGGACAGATACTCACCAGACAGGTATGAGTTCGCAAAACACGCTCAGATGCCACGGTTTACAAACAGCCCTTGCCCTTAAAAGCTTTATTGTTTTCTAGATTGCCTTTGCTGATACTGGGAACATAAATGGGAATGTTTCCATATACCTTCGTAATTTCATATAACATGATTACAGAAATTCAGTGTGAGAAATATGATGTGCCACATAGAGAGAACCAAAGAAAGCAGGAAAAAATTTATTCCTCCTCTTTTCTTTTTGACACCACTCTCATTTTATCTGCCAATCTCTCGCTTTTGTTATCTTTCCATAGCTCCATATTCAGTAGTTCCGTTCAACCATATTTCTGTTCTTTACTCCCTGTGGTTGCAGCCAGTATCTTACCCTCCCTCCTCGAACCAGACACAGACAGCCAAGCGTCGACCCCGCTATCCAGGACCCCAGGTATTCTGTCAGGCCCGAGCAACGTTACGCGGCCCTGCCCACCTCCCCCTTCTGTCCAATAACAGCGCTCCTCTCACACTTTCACCCTCCCACTTTCCCCTGCTGCTAGTTGACTGACAGGTGACAGCTTGCCCACACATAGCACTGCATAAGAGGTTGCTCTTGTCACTTTGTTTATTCATTATAAATATGAAATGAAGACTAGTGAACGCACTCATACATAATTTATCACATCTTAGGACAACAGAGTCATGTTTCTACACAAGAAAACATCTGTTACTGAGACTCTCACTTTCTTAGACTTTAAAGGAAAGCTCAAGTTTCAATACAAGCAAAGCTCTGTCAACATAATTTTGTGACAAACTGTCTGTTAACATAGAAAACCATTTTGACTTGCTCTTCAGTTTTTTAATTAGTAATACACTCATTTTGCACTTATTTTGCTAAAGCGCTTCTTACGTACAGAAAAATTAGACATTTCAAGACTTACAGTTTTAATGTGGCAATACTTTGTTTTTAAAGGGGTGATATGATGCTATTTTAAAGATCATTATTTTGTGTATTTGGTGTAACAGAATATGTTGACATGCTTTAATGTTCAAAAAACACATTATTTTTCAAATACTGTACA